GGATCGAAACGGTACTTGGAAGGCCATATAATTTACCTCAATTTAGGATAGACTCTTGAATTTTAAAGAGTCGAAATAGGATGAACGGATCATATAAACCCGAAGGAAAATATAATACAAGCCCAAACGAAAAAATATAAAAAGTCTAAATTGAAAACAACGTTCAAACCTATGATTGCGTTGGATAAAAACCGCAATTTTTATACGTGTGCATGTAAAACAAATTTTTTGGTAGAGGGGTCTAAATACAGCACAAACAACAATTTCCAAAAGACCAAAAAAAGTGAAAAAGTCTATTTTAACAAAACGCATTTGACTAACAGGTCGAACAACTGATGTTCTTAAACCCTGTTGACTGCTATTGGCGATTGCCAAATAAATTGATCACCAGATCTAACAAAATGGATCTTAATATAAATTAAATACCAAACAGAAAACAATAAACTTGTGGAAAAGATGGTAGACCACAAACATGAGGTGCAAAAATTTGTACACCATATCCGGATTTCGACAATAAATGTCTCTTCAGTGATGTTAGGGATCGAAACGGTACTTGGAAGGCCATATAATTTACCTCAATTTAGGATAGACTCTTGAATTTTAAAGAGTCGAAATAGGATGAACGGATCATATAAACCCGAAGGAAAATATAATACAAGCCCAAACGAAAAAATATAAAAAGTCTAAATTGAAAACAACGTTCAAACCTATGATTGCGTTGGATAAAAACCGCAATTTTTATACGTGTGCATGTAAAACAAATTTCTTGGTAGAGGGGTCTAAATACAGCACAAACAACAATTCCCAAAAGACCAAAAAAAGTGAAAAAGTCTATTTTAACAAAACGCATTTGACTAACAGGTCGAACAACTGATGTTCTTAAACCCTGTTGACTGGCATTGGCGATTGCCAAATAAATTGATCACTGTCCAGATCTAACAAAATGGATCTTAATATAAATTAAATACCAAACAGAAAACAATAAACTTGTGGAAAAGATGGTAGACCACAAACATGAGGTGCAAAAATTTGTACACCATATCCGGATTTCGACAATAAATGTCTCTTCAGTGATGTTAGGGATCGAAACGGTACTTGGAAGGCCATATAATTTACCTCAATTTAGGATAGACTCTTGAATTTTAAAGAGTCGAAATAGGATGAACGGATCATATAAACCCGAAGGAAAATATAATACAAGCCCAAACGAAAAAATATAAAAAGTCTAAATTGATAACAACGTTCAAACCTATGATTGCGTTGGATAAAAACCGCAATTTTTATACGTGTGCATGTAAAACAAATTTCTTGGTAGAGGGGTCTAAATACAGCACAAACAACAATTTCCAAAAGACCAAAAAAAGTGAAAAAGTCTATTTTAACAAAACGCATTTGACTAACAGGTCGAACAACTGATGTTCTTAAACCCTGTTGACTGCCATTGGCGATTGCCAAATAAATTGATCACCAGATCTAACAAAATGGACCTTAATATAAATTAAATACCAAACAGAAAACAATAAACTTGATCACCAGATCTAACAAAATGGATCTTAATATAAATTAAATTTAGAAATTGTTGTTTGTGCTGTATTTAGACCCCTCTACCAAAAAAATTTGTTTTACATGCACACGTATCAAAATTGCGGTTTTTATCCAACGCAATAATAGGTTTGAACGTTGTTTTCAATTTAGACTTTTTATATTTTTTCGTTTGGGCTTGTATTATATTTTCCTTCGGGTTTATATGATCCGTTCATCCTATTTCGACTCTTTAAAATTCAAGAGTCTATCCTAAATTGAGGTAAATTATATGGCCTTCCAAGTACCGTTTCGATCCCTAACATCACTGAAGAGACATTTATTGTCGAAATCCGGATATGGTGTACAAATTTTTGCACCTCATGTTTGTGGTCTACCATCTTTTCCACAAGTTTATTGTTTTCTGTTTGGTATTTAATTTATATTAAGATCCATTTTGTTAGATCTGGTGATCAATTTATTTGGCAATCGCCAATGGCAGTCAACAGGGTTTAAGAACATCAGTTGTTCGACCTGTTAGTCAAATGCGTTTTGTTAAAATAGACTTTTTCACTTCTTTTGGTCTTTTGGAAATTATATATATATATATAAAACGAGAAACGAGAAATACTTAAGAACCACATCAACAAACGACAACCACTGAACAACAGGTTCCTGACTCTTAAACTAATATGTCTATATGCATAAACAGGACGAGAGGGTATTAACATTTTACAAATATGAACTCGCCTCTGCATTGGACCGACACTCTGAACTGGATTTGAAAGATGTGTTTTTGTTTAGGTAACTATTATCATGTAGACATGTCGTTCAATGCTCTTCAACTTCTTCGTATTTTATTTGACCTTTTTAACTCTTTTGATTCGAGCGTCACTGATGAGTCTTTCAAGTTGTAGACGAAACGCGTCTGGCGTACAAAAATGTAAGCCTGTTTTCTATGATTAATCTATTTATAACCTACCTGAACAATTATTACACAATTAGCCGATCAGTCCTTATCTTACTTTTGAAAGCCGCGTATTCAAAGAAGCAGCACATATTAATCTTATATGACCTGGAAAGATTTTAAATCTTTAATCCCCGCATTCGAAGCGAGCACGCTACCAAGAGACCAACACACTGTTTAAAAAATAGTTTTGAAAGGTAATATCGTAGATAATGATAAGATTATACAAACAAAGAAACTTTTGTTCACAGACAAGAAATAGATATGTTACTATTACTTACGGTTAAATGTGATTACTACGTGGTGTTCTCATAATTTCAAAGTTTAGTTGATCAAAGTAAATGGTGTAAAAATATAAAAGGGGAAATGTCCACTCTATTTTTTAACAAAGTTACGTAATCATCATATTTTACATTTATAGACAATATTCTTACATTGTAGGAAGATATAAACGTTATTTGTAAGAGCTTTAGAAGGAGAGATAAACCGATGCTCGTCGAGCTTTTCTCCTGTTTCGTAGCGAGTTCAAATATTTTAACATTTTTCTACAATGTACGGATATTGTTTTTATCCTGCAATTTAACATTAACATATGACAAAGGGAAATGTGTCTTTCTTGCGTCTCGACAAGTTAATTAGATTATATGTTAATATAGCAATACATTTAGTCATTACAAGGACAGAAGAATGGACAACAAATTGAAACGTAAACGAACAGAGACCATTGTCACTTAAAAGTAGCGATATCACCAGGTGTGCATTGCCCCGAGTCAAAAACCAAAATGTTCAAAAATATTGATTTGTTAATTCAGAAAGGAAAAATAATAGAAGACACGGACATTTGGCACGAACTGACTTGATATCGAAGGATTTGTTGTAAACGTAGGTAGAAATTGATAAGAAATTGTATAACATGTTGCGCATTGCGTTTTGCGTGATTCATGTCTTGCATCTTGCAGAACATAGGGCTGCTATAAAGTATATATATATGAAATGTTCTAGTGATATATTGAGTACCTGTATTGTCTTTGAACTTAACAGTGTTATCATTGAATGCTTTATCAGATTTCTATCAGATCATGTAAGTGCATTACGTGCTGTATGTGCCATGCCGATTTGCATAGCAATTTAAAAGTCTATAAAATAAAGAAAACAAGTGTCTTTTTGTCTAGATAACATTATATGCTGTAAAAGTCCTATGTAATATGATTGCTAATGAGACAAGAGGAAAAAGATGTGAACAGCCATAAATATTATTTATATGGTTTTGTTTCTGTAAAATATATGCTCTGTCATTATAGAACACAATAATAGAAGCGGAAGATACCAAATGGACTTGGAAAAGGTCATTCGGAATAGCTCAAACACAGCGTGGTGTTATACACGAGTATTGCTATATTATTAATATGCTACCATCAAGAAACTGAACACAATTTTCAAGTAAATATAAAAAAAAATGATGTGTGCTTAATTACATTTTTTTAATGTTGATGGAGTAACAATGTGTTGTTTTCTTATGGTAATTAATCAAACTAGTCTTACATGTTAGCTTTCTTAGATATACTGATACATAAAGATACATTGTGTTCAGTTTTTGATTTGTTTAATGAAACTGTTTTAGAGTTTTGAGTTCAAGCAATTTTCGTTGCGTTTCTCCTAGTATGTTTAAAAAAATATGTACACATCTTATTTCATGAATATCCCTAATAAACAAGTCTGATTATGTATTTGTGTAGTGGGAGTAAAAATATTTCATTGAAATTCTGCTGCATGACTTTACTGAAAGCAATAAAACTCAGTTCTACATTTGAATAGGAGTTGTCTCTCTTTCATAAGGCATTTGTGTTAATTTTAACTCTTCCTAAAGCCCTACCAGTTCATCATTATTCGACTTAAACATATTTACCTATATGTCTGTGTGGAATGTTGAAATACGCGTCCATGTCCGACGTCGAAATGGGGACGTTAAATTTGTCAATATCAGTCCCCCGAGGTACCATCAGCTTCATGACCAGTGCTTCGGTAATGGCATGATTTAAACAATGATTCATTTTATCCGTATATAAAACGTTAATAAAATTATATGATTGTGATAAAACTTGGCTAAGCTTGCAACACATGCTTGATCCTTTAGTAGCGCAAAGTTGACCTTAAACGGATTTCGCTGACCTGCCTTTTTGTTTCTACGCTCTCAGAATTTATATATATATGTTTGGATTTGAAAACATTTGGTCTCGATGATCCTAGGTGAGGGTTACTCCAGTTTTATCATGAAAGAGCGATAATCAGACATTGTATCATTATACCCCATGAAACGAAGTAGGGTAAAATGTTTTTGACCCGTCCGTCCGTCAGTCTGTCAGTCCTGTTCTTGTCATCGCAACTCCTCTGAAACCACGCAACATGAAACTTTTGAAGTTAGGACATACCATGCAGATATGCATATTCACAAGAAATTTTTATCAGTTGACTTTTGTAGCAGTTATGAACTTAGGAATCTGGAGATATTTTGGACTATAAAGATATGTATAATAAGAATGCGGTATGAATTGACTATGAGACAACTATCCACCAGTGTCCATATGACATGCGTATAAGCAATTATACAACGCCTCGCGATCTTCAACAATAAGCAAAACCCACACCGTATAGTCAGCTATTAAAATCCACGACCTGAAAGGATGTAAAACGATTCAAACGAGAAAACTAAATGATGTATGACAAAACAGAAAACGAAAAACCAAATATGAAAGGCAGCCACCAACGACAAGCACTGGATTACAGGCTCCGGCCTTGGGACAGGCTAAATTCTATTGGGGTTTTATATATCATATATATAGTTTATTTTTTATTTAAGTTTTAATGACTTATGGTGTCAGCGGTTTATCACTGCAGTTTAATACCATATGTTTTTATACCAAGGCGAAAACACTTGAAAATAATAAATTCTGCAGTGCTCTACAAACACATAACTTTTGTTTTTGTTCATGAACAAACTTTTCATTTTTTTAACCATATATATTGGTATGAAATATACAGTATACTAAGAACGACAACTCTTTTAATTTAGTCTATCAATGTGGATGTCGGCAAATCACAACTGGAACGTGGGCATGGTGAAGAATATAGTCACTTGTACTTCCTATCAAAGTCCGCCGAATTTTGCCTAAACCACGACATCCGGTTACAATAATGGCGGCGTCTAGTTCTGCAGCACATTTTACGATACCTTCTCCTGGTATGGTAGTATGAACGCTTTTTACTGTTCCATTAACCTGAAAGATCAAACCACACTAAAAATATAAGACAAAATAGTTATGGCTAGAGGAATTACATAGAAAAAATATACGACTTCTACTGATTAATTTGAAAAGTGCTGTTAAAAAGTAAAAAGGGGATCTGTCAAGTTCAGAAACATTTAATTTACTTTCACCAACGTTGAAATATTCAAAACCATTGCTTTGACTGAAAACAAATTATAAAGAAATACCAAAAGTAATCAGTTATGCAACTCCTGGTGTAAAATCAAAACTACTGCAACTTCAAATGGAGCAATCAAATATAATCATTTCACTGGTTTTGAGGTCTATAGCAGTGGCGGATTCAGGGGCGTAGAAGGTGTACGCCCCCCCCCCCCCCACACCTGTGATTGGAAAACATAATTTTTTAACATAGAGTCGTCCGAAAAATTGTTCGCCTCGCTACGCTCAGCTGTATTTCTACAGTTTAATAGAATTACGCCCTCCCCCTTTTAAAAAAAACTTGGATCTGCCCATGAGTATGATTGGAACCAAGACCTGCAGAGTTGACACGTTTCTTGGTTGGAGTATTTACTTTAATAAAGCATTAGCAGTAATAAAGAAATATATTCCTCGTAAAAATGAGAATCTTCAGGGGTTTATAAGTTGAAAACATGCCTAAATTATCATAGCGTTCAATTAAGAGTTATCGGAAAATTTGTGATTGTGGTTTGTATAATACATCGTTAGTCTGCATGGGAAGAAATGATTTGTTTATAAGCTGGAATTGGCTATGAACTAAATTTCATTAATTTGGAGTACTCTTTTATGGTACGTTGTGTTTAATGTCTTTTTGTTAAGGTTTTTTTTTCAAATGTATAGTTCCGATCTAATGAATCTAGCCATTTCTAACGGATTTTCATATTTTGTTACTATGTTGTGCTGTTTAACCATTGTTCAAGGTTAGGGAGAATGTTGATCGCTCACAGACAATTATGTTTAAACCGTCACATTCTTTAAGTTTCTATTCGTAACCAAGAGCCTGCAATTCAGTAATTGTCGTCGGTTGCTGTTTGCCATATTTGTTTTTCGTTTATTGTGTTATGCATATATCAGACCATTGGTTTCTCCTACTACACGGCTACACATTTTGTCATGCAGGGTCTTGTATAGCTTACTATACTTTATGGGATTTGCTCATGGTTGAAGGCCTAACATTGTCCTTTAGTTGTTTACATCCTCGTCCTTAGGTTTCTGGAATAGAGCTGTCCTCATTAGAAATCATACCACAACTCCTTCTTCTTTTATTATTCCCCTTTGTCCAATCTTTTTAACATGTAATTTCCCTTTGCCCAATCTTTTTAACATGTAATTTCCCTTTGCCAAACTCTAAAACATGTAATTTCCCTTTGTCCAATCTTTTTAACATGTAATTTCCCTTTGCCCAATCTTTATAACATGTAATTTCCCATTGCCCAATCTTTTTAACGTGTAATTTCCCTTTGTCCAATCTTTTTAACATGTAATTTCCCTTTGCCCAATCCTTTTAACATGTAATTTCCCTTTTTCCAATCTTTTTAACATGTAATTTCCCTTTGCCCAATCTTTATACATTTGTAACATGTAATTTCCTTTTGTCTAATCTTTTTCACATGTAACTTCCCTTTATCCAATCTTTTTAACATGTAATTTCCCTTTGCCAAATCTTTTTAATATGTAATTTCCCTTTGCCCAATCTTTTTAACATGTAATTTCCCTTTGCCCTATCTTTTTAACATGTAATTTCCTTTGTCCAATCTTTTTAACATGTAGTTTCCCTTTGCCAATCTTTTTAATATGTAATAACGGAATATTTAGAATATAAGAAATAAAGAACAGATGGATTGAGGACAAAACCAAACCATTTTCAAAAATGTCTTCGAGTTTATTAAAAGTTCGGAAAGATTTCTAATCGTCTAGATAGCAAACCATGATCGCACACACATCATCATCTAAGTAAAAGTCTTCCTTTTTTTTGTGTTTTTGTTTGTTTAATTTGTATTTTATTTTTTGTTTTTGTTTTCTAAATATTCATTTATTTATTTTTATATATTTATTTTTTCTGTATTATTGTTTTCTTTCTGTCTTCACTTTTCTGTCTTTTCACATAAATCTAAATATATATATATATATATATTAAATAGATATACCATTCTATACATGCATGCTCATACATATATTTTGTATTATATTGCTATAAATGTTAAATGGAGAAGACTTCATAAGTCTGTTTGACTTGTGTCTTATCCAATTTGTACTTGAACAAATAAAATATGTTTAAACTAGACAAAGATGCAATTTAAAAAGGAGAAAAATTCGTTTACTAAACACGTTTGTACACATGGTGGCATGTGAAGGCAAAATTTATTCAAGTTAACTGTATACAGACATAGGTCTATAAAGTTGAGAGAAAAATGCGTTAACAGAACGATAAAAAATGACCTAATATGGAATAGTGTGCACAACATCTTTGCATTATATCTGTTATTTCCTTTGAAAAAAATGTTACAGTTTCAGAGAGACAACTACCCCAGTTTGTAAACAAATGATAGAGTTTAAGAATATTCATTATTTTTTGTTTCACAATTTGCTTTCCTTAGAAACAAATAAATATCTTCAGAAAGATACATCAAAATGTAACCCAGATTAAGAACAATACGTAAGCCAGACTCAGTAAGATACGTATCCTAGATTCAGAAACATACGTACCCTAGATTCAGAAACATACGTATCCTAGATTTAGAAACATACGTACCCCAGATTCAGAAACATACGTACCCCAGATTCAGAAACATACGTACCCCAGATTCAGAAACATACGTATCCTAGATTCAGAAACATACGTACCCCAGATTCAGTAAGTAGCGCAGCGTATTGTTGTAATTCTTGTGTTACGCGTTCTTTTTCTTTCTTCAAAATGGACGCTAGCACATCTGGATCAAATGAATATGGAGCTGTGATAGAAAAATAAACCCAATTTATATTAATTCAATATGAACAATATAAGTACAAGTTAAATATTAGTACCTTAATTGAAACAATAACGGTCACCCTTTCGTGCTTATAAGTACATTTTTGTACCTTTCTTTAGAGGAGTTGACTTTTTAAATATGATTGATTATTTGTTTTATTTTTCGCTTAAAGTCCAGTGTCAAATATTTCATGCATATTGATAAGAAGCAACAAACTTTATAGGAAAGTTCTATAAAGTGGATCGGAAGTGCAAGAGTTTGTTTTACGTACAAAAATAGTTGTATTCTCGTCCTACACGCGACATCGTACTTAACGCCCACATTCAGACAGGACATGGCTGCGTGTTCATACTTTTTTTTCAATTGGGCACTGTGTCTTGCCTAAATAAAGGTTAAGAAGTCCTGGTATGTCTTTACATGTAATCTTTACTATGTACCATACATGTACTTGGTCAGTATACAGGTTAACGATCGTTACAATTGAAAATACATACAAATATTGACAACGAAAAAATAAACAACGAAAATATTTTCTGACAGATATAACAGATAGAAAAACCTACATTTGTCACCTTTTGAAATCCTAAGTCGGTTATCTAAGTGTAGATGACCTAAGATCAGTAATGTGCGTTTTTCAATACCTGTTTCCCTAACGAGAAAAATATCTGTCAAGAAAAGGATACTGTTTATATTTTAGGTTTTTATGCAACATTTTAAAAGAAATACAAGACTGCTAAAATTAGCGTTTATCCATGACACAAAATCAGTACATGCACAGCAAAAACACACAAAAAGCAAAGGAACAGAGCTTGTAACCTTGTCAACTAAGCTCTTTGTTATTAGGTAGCATGCTCAGAAGGTTTTTTTTTCGAATACCATTCGTGAGAATAAGCAGCTAATCTCAGGACACAAATTACTCTCAAAACAATTGTTTTAATAGCAATCGAGAACATCTATCCTGTTGTATCTGTGGTAATTATAGCCGGTAATATACATGTAAATAAATCAGTATTAAAATTTTGTACGCCAGACGCGCGTTTCCTCTGCAAAAGACTCATCAGTGACGCTCCAATAAAAAAGGTTTAAAAGGCCAAATAAGTTACGAAGTTGAAGAGCATTGAGGACCCAAAATTCCGAAAGGTTTTGCCAAATACAGCTAAGGTAATATATTTCTGGGATAGAAAATCCTTTTAAACAGTTAATTTATAACTATGACAATGTAAATTCCAATTCATGTCAAAACAGAAGTGCTGACTACTGAGATGATGATACCCTTGGGGAGGCAACCTCCATCCACGAAATTAGATTTTAATTAGGTCCAGCAACGTTCCTCGTGACACATTTTTCCGTATCAATACCTACACGAGAACTGTTGTGACGAGATCATTTCGTTCATCTCCACTGCATGGACGATGTAAACATGATCATCTTCCTTTCTACAATTGTCAACAAACCCTGTAACGAGAGAAAACATTTTTTTCATTTTCTTTATTCATATGAGATCACGTTAGTGACCGAAAGTATACGCAGTTCTACATATTAGAATGACAATAATTTATATGCATTGTTGTCGTAATCAAACATACAGTTCTTTCAGAAGGAACCTGCAGGATTCAAAATTACCTTTCCTCTAAATGATTTTGATAAACAATTTAGAAAGGATTTTATTTGTTTTGGTTGCATTTTCATTAAAAATTAAATCTAATTAATAAACTCATCATAGATACCAGGATCGAAATGGTGTACGACAGACACGCATTTCGTCTACAAAAGACTCATCAGTGACGCTCGACTCAAAAAAGTTAAAAAGGCAAAATAAGATACGAAGTTGAAGAGCATTGAGGACCCAAAATTCCGAAAGATCTCGTCAAATACAGTTAAGGTATCCTATTCCTGGGGGTAGAAAATATGTAAAATGTACCATTGACTCCTAAACAATTTAGTTATGTCTTTTGAGGGTTTACAACTTATCCTGATAAATGTCAGACAGTTTTTTATGTAAATAATTAAATATCCTAGGAACACTGTTTTTAGATAGATATTGAAGGTTACATGATAAGATAATGGCAAACGTATATTATGTACCTTCAACATGATTATAATATTGATATGTTTCTTGTAATGCACTTAAAATTCAAATAAACAATTTAACATGATACAAAGGTGTTGTAAGGTCCCAAAACAAAATATAAATAACACTTTTAAATTTTTCTAAAAACATTCAATTCCATCCTTGAAATTAATACTTTTTATAGGTCGAATAAAACGTAAAAACTACTTGAGCTTGCATATTTCTTCTTGGTCAACAGGTACTTGAATACATCGCAGATAGTGGTTTTGCAACATGTTTTAAATACATTTTATCACGTACTATACAAAGTACTGTATTGCCACACTGTATTGTGTCATAGATCGAAATAACATTCGGGGTTTATCGGAAAAGGGGGGGGGGGTCCATCTTATTTAAAAGATCGTACCCATGTTTATGAAATAACAACAACACCAATCGTGAACAAACAAAGGGTTCACTGACACTGACACTGACCTGTACAGCGACATTACAATCAAAATGAATTGAAGGAATTGTCAAATCATTCCTACTGGCACAGAATAACGGAGGAGTGGTAAACATGCATTTATCTACAACGGCCTGGGGAGTTATTTATCTATCAAAACTTTATATTTAGTGTATGACATGAGCACCTCGATTATAAAAGTGACTTGAAAAATACGCCTAGATTTTCTTGAACAAGACGATCATGCCAGTATATATATAAATATATATATTCCTAACATCACTGAAGAGACATTAATTGTCGAAATCCGGATATGGTGTACAAAAAATATTTGCACCTTTGTTTGCGGTATACCATCTTCGCCGCAAGTTTATTGTTTTCTGTTTGGTATTAAATTTAAAGTTAAGATCCATTTATTACACCTTGTGATCCGTTTATTTGGCAATCGCCAATGGCAGTCAGCAGGATTTAAGAACATTTGTTGTTCGACCTGTTAGTCAAATGCGTTTTGTTAAAATATACTTTTTCACTTTTTTGGTCTTTTGGAAAATGTTGTTTGTGCTGTATTTAGACCCCTCTAACAAGAAATTTGTTTTGCATGCACACGTATAAAAATTGCGGTTTTTATCCAACGCAATCATAGGTTTGAACGTTGTTTTCAATTTAGACTTGTATATATATATATATATATATATATATATATATGCATGTAGCATTTGATTTTGACTTATGAAATATAGGGGCAACGTATTGCAACCTCTATGGAAATTGTCCATTTTAGAATATTTCTATTTCATCTTCCAGCATAAAATATGAAAATATAAATATGAAAATGGTCACTACTGGGCCTTTTCTTTCCCTTTTCTCTATCGTAACTTAGAGAAAAATTTGTCACACTACACTACAGGCCTACTCACAACAAAAAGAGAGCTTAAACATAATTTATTATTGTGCTTATATTTCATCTTTTATAGCAAACAAATAGAGCGCCAGTGGTCGAGTGCATGCAATGAAACCATCATTTTATTTGCGTATGTCTATTTCATATATCTTCCTACGCTGTAAAAATATGAAGATGTGATATGAATGCCAATAAGACAACTATCCACCAGAAATCAAAGGACGAAGATGTAAATATATATATAGGTCACCGTACGACGCATAATAGAGGGTCTGGATCAGGGTCCTTCATTTCTGTATTCTTTAATTTTTCATGCCCTTTTTCTCGATTCTTTTTACTTTTTGCCCATTATTCTCTATTCTTTATATTTTAGAACCTCATTACTCTCTACTCCTCATTATTCTCTACTCTTTATTTTTTGGTCCATTTTTCTCTATTCTTTATGTTTTGGCCATTATTCTCTATTCTGTAAATCCCAATCCACACTCTCATAATAAGCTTTAAAAGGTAACGACATGACAATTGGATTTATGCTAAAAACAATAAACGAAAAACGTGCCTGTAATTAAGTGGTTGTCGTTTGTTGCAGTATATCATATTTATGTTTTTGAAGTTTTTCGTGTATTGTTTTCTACATAAATCAGGTCGATATTTTCTCCTTTGAATTGTTTTACATTTGTCATTTCAGGACCTTTTAAAGAGTACTATGTGGTATGGGATTTGGTCATTGTTGAAGGACGTACAGTAACCCGTCATTTGGTCTCTGGTAGAGAGTTGTCTCATTGGCAATCGTACCACATTTTCTTATTTCTATATGTCAGACAGCAACCAACCACAACGACAACAACTGAATCACACGCTTCTGTGGGACTTATGACAGGCACATTTGTTCACATATAATTAACTTCGGGTCATCCCAGCAATAATGAGTCTAATGAGGATATCTGCTTCCTTGCATGGAATAGATGTTTCACCATTTAATTAAGGTGAATTATGCTGGAAAGAAGGATAACTTTCACAAACTTTTCTCCCTTTCCCCGTACTAAAAGTTTCAAGATATCACTAGACCGAATTCTTGTCTCTATATAGCATATATTTCCTGAACTTCATTTGCTTTTTACTATATATTTTTGCTTTTTTCTAATTTTTTTTTTATATCTATATTGCAAAATAAAAATATAAAAAAGCAAAAATAGTAAAAAGCAAATGAAGATCAGGAAATATACGCTATTTAGAGACAGAAAAATTCGGGCACAAGATATCCAATACCGATGTTCGCAAGTGTACTGTTTGGTCGTTGAGGTTATTAACCTTAAGCAAAATTGAATCCCCTTCGACATGTTCGAGTGATCATCATTTAATATTGTTACAGTAATTCATATTATTCCCAAGATAACTGAAGAAGAATGCATAATTCGATAATTTTATCAGTGTTTACGTGAATCTGATGCACGTATCTAATCAACTACTTATATATAATATATATTTTATAGTGCAACCTGATATAACATTAGTTTTAAAAATATGCACATCAACTATCCTCCAAAGATGCATGATTCTCTGTTTTTAACACAATAATTTTAAATATGAAAGTAATGTTCGAGGTCATGTTTACATTATAAATAGTATATGTTCATTTCCTTCCATGTATGTACAATGTATGAGTAACATATGGTGACACTAATATGATATAAAAAAACGTAAGCATAAAAATGTGTATATTTACACTTACATTTAAATGCATATTTGGAATGTTCGCTTCCATCCATAGCTATGACTACATTTTTCCCTCCCGTTTTTGCTTCTTCGGTCATTTTTAAAACACAGAATATCTAAAAAGTTTATATATGTGCATCCACTGATAATTCACATGTAAATAAAAGATATCGTCACCTCAGTATAAAGTTGTACCCGATGCGAAATCACGGTTCAGTTGATAGCAAGTGTCGGATTTAAATGACACTGACCGTGTACATTTAAAAATAGTTGAAATAAACAATCGTGATTTTATTACATCTGTGTATTGAAGTCCAACCTCACAGCGGCAAAATTGATTAATACTGTGTGCATAAAATCGATTGTGTTTACATACAAACATTTCAAACTACACTTAGAAAAGTTCTTGAAGCTGATTGATGACTTCTGAGTAGACTAAACAGATATCCACTGCAGGCTATGAACAGGGCGTGTCGTGGAAAGGGGATAGTAATACCTTTCACTACTAAACTACCCCTTTGGTGTTTCCATTAAAACAGAAATGAGGATATTTTAAGTTTCTTAGATGTTAACTTTAAAAAATGGTCATTAGCTTTGACGGATTCATTAAAGGAACATATACGATGAAACCTGCTTTAAGAGCTTTCATAAGACAGGTGGTCTTTTAATACAGGTTCAATCTACATGTATATGAATTGCACAATAGAGGGATCTTAAATTAATGGTCTTATAGCAGGCTCTTGCTTAACACAGGTGGTCTCGTAAGCAGGCTCGACTGTAGTTCTGTTTAAAGACTACACGGACAGAAACTGGGCTACAATCTCTGCTTCCTTCCACATTTATTTCGATTGAATTCCAACAGTTTTTATTGTTTCTGACTTTGAAGACCATTTAGTTTCTTACATTATTGTTTGCTGACCAATCTGTCCATTCCAGTCATGTTGGTGATAAAATCATTTCAGCCTAATATATATATATAGTCCAACGCATTGCAAACCATAAAACTCATTTTTTTGGGCAAAGCTAGGTTTATAAGTGAACACCCTTCTTACGTTTTGATCGCTGCTTTATTGAAAAAAAAGTTCATTGTTTATTCAGGAAGCTTACAGCGGCCAAATATTACACGAATAAAATAAGACACAAATCAAGGATTTGACAAAAAAGGTTACGTTGTAATCACGATTTTATGGTTTACGTTTTATATAACTGTATACCTATTTTGTAATTCATACGATTCAGCTTAGTATAATATGAAGGTCGAATGTAAAGACTGTTCTTAGTACATATGTACGTAGTACAACTTTTTACTTCCTTTGACAGTGAAGATTTATATATACTAATACTTTACATTCTTGAATACTTGTAGTGACTGAATAGAAAAAGGTCGACTATTAAAACATAGTTGCAATTCTGTATTGTTCTCCTTTAAATCAATATTATAATAAATTAAATTAGATAGGGAAATATAAAATCCGTGAACCTGAAAACATTTAACATATTAATAAAGTCAGTAGGGACAGCATGCAGTTCTCAACCGTGAATCATCTGTCATATCACAGGTCAAGATGTTATTCGAGTTTTGAAAAGTTGTAATTTTGAATAAAAAAAAGGAAAATGCTACCCGATAAATGTGTCCACAGCACAAACTTCCTTCCATATCAAATATTTACTCTTTTGTGCTTTTATCTTGGTGGGTCATTGTCTTTTATATTTGCCTTCAATGTGCATTTTTATCATTCCTTCGCCAGAAACGTTCAAAGTCATAAGTTGAGATGATCATTACAAACAATGCAAACAACATAGGGGCTGCATGTTTAACCAAAGGGAGCCTGCACAGGTAGCACAAACCACCTAAGGTCAACATTATCTGTTAGTTTTGTAGCTTTATACTTTTTATTAAAAAAAAGAAAAAATCAGATATAATTACGTTTTAAATTATGGCCAGTTCCGAAACATTGACTCCATTGGAGGTTGAAACAGCTCAAAAATCACTACCAACAGTAAGTAAAGTCAAACGAATCAAGTTGTATTGCTTTTACATTGCCTTTTCTGTTAATTTTTATCATCAGACATGGTGGACAAGAAAAATCTAAGAGTTAAAAAATGAATACATCGCGTTTAAAAACACCTTTAAAATCAACAAGAACGATCGCAGCAAAGACATTCAAATTCTAACATAAATACGTAAACCCCCAATGCATTCTTGCCTGAATACAATTGTTTCTAACTCCCCTAAATAGAATGCAATTCGTTTAAAAAAATAATGTTAGTCTTGAATAGAGATTCACAAACTACATGTATCTTATTTCTTCTTAAAATGACTCTATTTCACTGAGTTTAAAATAAAAATATATCGCTAAAATATCACAATTCGTTTTTCATATCAATATAGTTTTAACCATTAATTAAAATGTAATTTAAAATGTATATAATCATGAAAAACAAGATAGTTTAAGACTATAACGGTTACCATGGGAAATTTCTAAAACGAAATTAATCATCAGAAATCGTTAAACTTCTCAAATGCAATATATCTTTGTTCTCCATTCCCAGAAGTTTTCATCAAACTGGATTTATTCAAATCAAACTGATTTGTAATTAAAGGCTAATGGTTAAATTATGTAACCATTGTACATATTATGGCTTATATTCAAATTTATGGAAACTGTCTGGGAAATTGATCAGACATCTCTTAGGGATTTGTAGTACTGTGAATTGAATGAACTATTAAATTACCCATGATAGTCGACATTATAGATTCTGAAAAGACGCGTTGTTGTGACCACACTGTAACATCGATAGTATAAAGTAAAATAAAAAAAATACCGAACTCGAAGGGAAATTCAAAACGGAAAGTCCTTTATAAAAATCAAAAGCTCAAACACATCAAACAAATGGAAAACAACTGGCTTGGTACAAATCTCCACCAGAGACCAAATGACATAGAATTTAACAACTATAGGTCATAATACGGCCTTCAACAATGAGCAAATTCCATACCCATGATTAACCTGTTCTTATAATTGACATTTTGTTTGTGTGACTTTGACACCCCTCCATATTTTTCACCTTTTGCAGCACTTTTCGCTTCTATAAAGCAAAGATATACTCCGAACTTCTAATTCAATTCATTCTGCATTAATATTGAACTAGTTTTGGAACAAAGAACAGTTGTATGTGCTTCCACACTCACCAAAAGAAAATAAGATATTTGCCCAGAAATTGACGTACATCTTTCAAAAGACGGGGATATTAACATTTTTTGGGAGGCAACTTTTAAATGTTGATATCTCAAAACAACATCTCAAGAGTTCACTTGTATCTAGTAATATAAAAATTCCAAATTTTGAAATTGTTATGGGTCAAGGTCACTGTTTATTTATATATAACAGCTGAATGAAAATTGTAGATATGCACCCTATAAGTACAAATGTCAATCTCGGATTATATTTGCCCAGAAATTGACGTACATCTTTCAAAAGACGGGGATATTAACATTTTTTGGGAGGCAACTTTTAAATGTTGATATCTCAAAACAACATCTCAAGAGTTCACTTGTATCTAGTAATATAAAAATTCCAAATTTTGAAATTGTTATGGGTCAAGGTCACTGTTTATTTATATATAACAGCTGAATGACAATTGTAGATATGCACCCTATAAGTACAAATGTCAATCTCGGATTATATTTGGCAACAGAAATTTCCTTAAACTAGACCTTAAAAGAAACTATATGTATAATCCTTTAACTCAATCGAATTCATTTCGCTCTTGACGCATGTATGTAGGGGCAAGCAGTCTAAATTTGACCCTGCATTTTCCTTGAAATTTTAGTTTTGACCTTTGACCAAATTTTAAGACAATCTGCGCTGAGACAGCGGCGATATATCTAAGGGGCTTGTTCTCCTCTTTCCAATTATATCAAATACAGCCGTGTGTTATTCCGTTAAGCTAAATCGATCGAATTCTTTTACTGGGCACCCCACTAATACTTCAAATGATGAAACGCAGAATTTTTGTGTTTTGCACATATTTTGTGTTATTAACAAGCCTGGATTATTCATAATAAATATAACATCTACATTTATATTTTTTTTTTTCATTTAATTTATCCATAAAAAATAAAACTAATACAATATTTCTGATAAAACATTACAGCTGCACGTACACTTTATAGGGAAGTTGTTTATTATGTGCAACTGTTTCAAGTAAGGAAAACCCTTTACCAAAAAAACAAAACATAATGAATGATAAAAAATTGGAAAATATATAAATTTAAAGTTAAATGGTTATACATTGATTTAAAGGCTGCCAATAGAAACCAGTTTCAACGTCTATTTAATGTTATAGAAATAGATAATTACATGATTAAATGTTACACAACTCCTTCTTCACAATCAGGACTGGCACTTTTGAATGATGTACTAAAAATGAACTAACACTTCCCATGATTCCTGAACACGTTTTATTTCGTCCTCGATTTCCGGTAACGATACAATCTACATTTTCCTCGTCGGCAACTTTAAGTATTTGTTCTTTTGGGTCTCCTTGTTTTCGCACAACTTTCCCTGAAATCTATAAATGAGAAAATGGTTACATGTATTTTAAGCAGCACAAACAAACAAAAAAACAACAACAATATATTGCTACATTCCAAAGATTTTCTTCACAAATCGTGAAAAAAACCTGTTCACAGGCTTACCAAAAACATCCTAAAATTACCAAAATATTTTGAAAAAGAACTGAAATATATAGCCAAAATAATATGTTAACCCAAATTATGATGATATAATAAATCAAAGTACTGAAGTACTGAACATCGGATGACCGCAGGTTCTTGTGGATGGTCAAAAGCACATGTCACAGAAATAGATCACATCTCTATACCTGAAACTGAGGTTAATTTACAGAGATATATTTTTTTCTGATACAAGTTCGTGCATGGATGATGAATAAATGACAGGAAATTCAACCGCACCGTAATAACTATTATATTGTAGTGATACAAATCAGTATACCTGGGACTATTATACTAATATGATAATAGTGTCAGAGTATACACGTCTGGTTTGTTGTTATATATTATATTAATATTACGGTTGCATGTATATATAATTTTCATCTATTTATATATCATTCTATTCTACTATTCTAATTATAGTGCAGTGCAAGTGCATGGTGGGCACTCTTCTGTAAAAAAATCGATTTTTCTAAAAGATTGGATATGAGAAGCCATTCATATTTTCCCGCAAAACAATAACAGAGTTATCGGTCCTTGCCGGGAGTGTCGCAAAACGTTCTTGAGATATTCTTCCGTAAGCTTTAACACAATTTTTCGGTACGTGTGCATTTATATCATCAATGATTTTTTACTTTTATATATATATAACTAACGACAACACATTTTCATATCATTAATTTGTGTTTTAATAAAAATATTTATAGGAGTATCCATTGAAAAAATGAATTTGAAACAAGCGGTAAGTAATGTTATTTTGCACTAGATAAGTGACCGCGGATCTATAATTTTTATAGATCGGTTGAAAACCCAAAACTAATTTGCATAATGGATATTTAGGCGATAGCAATACATCGATATGACCTCACGGTCATCGCGATGTAAAAATGAATATTCAATTACAGACTACTGGCAACAAACACAAAATGTTGCGCATATAATAATTAGAGAAAAAAATCTAGATCCTAGAAAAGTCGTTATTATGAAAGCCGTCCTAAGGGCACATGATCAATCACATGACTTACTTTTTCCCTTTTCAGATGTTCATGTAGTTGCGCCAAAAGTAGCCTCGTTTCCTTTTCGTGCTTTACCATCATTGTCTTAAGTTGATCTATACATTTGGAAAAGAAATCTGTAACGTAAAATGACGTAAAATAACAAATGGTGTATATCTGCAGCAAGTTTGGTCAAAATTTTACATGGTTTTTGGACGACCTGCAGTTTAAGCTGTCAGCGAATATTTACTTCAATCCTTGTTTTGGATTTTTCATCTTTTTTTATTTCGTTTCTTTTTCTTAATTATTAACAAAAACGCCTAGTCATAAACTCTTAAAATTTCATATTAAATTGAGGTTATTTTACTTCTCAGGAATGAACAGAAAAGATTTAACTTAACACTATTTACATCTAAGATCGGTCCTTATTGTGCATAGCCTGGCATACTGACCCAATATAATACTTCGTCGATAGGCTGCGAGCAGTGAGCCAGAATCCCAGGCTATATTGAGCACAGTTGGCATCATTTCAATTCATTTGTTTGATTATCACTTGGACTGCACTATAATCATTCACATGCTGGCGTGGCATTTTATTTAAAATACCACTGCTAACGACAATAGGAACTCGGTCAGTCTCGTCGTGAGAACGAGTTGCCAAGACTACGATCTATACTTTGAATTTATTGATTTTTAAATAAAGCATCTTTTTCCAATGACATTTTTAAACGTAGCGTAGACATAAACATATGAAGATAATGTCTCTCTACATATATAGATTGGTTTATTGTTATTTGTTTAACATCCAGTGAAAAATGTTTCGTGCATACAAGGGAACAGAACAAATTAACAATTACTAGTACTCCATAAGTAAAGTTATGCAAAGTAGGTCGATCGGGATGAAGGGTCGGAATTTCGACTGTCACAGGAAATTGAAGGTATATTTAATAACGTCAGAAATTTTGCCCTGCAATAGCCAGACCCTTCAAAGTGTTGTTGTATGGGTTCTTAAACGTGCAAAGAGTGTTGCATTTGCCCCATACAAGGATTCAGAACTAATGGGCCTTTTCCGACCGGATGTGGCTGCAGATTTATCCATCCCGCTCACCCAAACACACGCCTCTCTTAAGTAACGGTTTTACTACCAGAAGGCAAAAGGCGTGTGAAGACCGTGTTTTATACCCTAGTCAACCCTTTTGGAGATTTGTCTCTAAGCAGAAATAAATGTAGGCCTTGGTGCGATTGTATTTACTATATATATGTACGTTGTATTAAGGAAATTATAAAAGAAAAGGAATGTGAACGACTGTACACTACAGCGCGATATATGATTTACAGTACAAAACAAATATTTACATCTACTCACATGAAAGCTGTGTTTGTGTCAATTCGGGACAGTGAACAAACACAACATAATCGGATGCTTGCCTAAAGTACTTTAGGTACCCTGTTGAAAATACAACAATATCAAAATGTCAACTTGTATGTCGTAAATTATAAACTGTTTAAAACCCTTTGAAGTATGAAAGTAGAAAATATCTTGAATCGAAGTTTTATATTGTTTTTCATTATTTCGTATGAGACATATGTTATACACATTCTTTATTTATTTGTTTGGTGGGTCCATGTTCATGTACATGACAATTTTACTTATATACCATTTAATTTTAATAGTATACGATTAGTAACACAATGTCCATATGGTAAATATAATTATAATGTTGCACTTATGTAGTCGAAGATTTGACTTCGACAGTCTATTCTGGTGACAGTTTGATCGTAGGACGTCTGAGCGCAATTCACATAAAGCGTTCGTTGAGGTTCAAGGGAAATTTGGTGATTAAAATGTACATTTTCGTGAAGAAAAAACTTGATTTTGTTTTTCAAATTGATCAATTAAAACATAAACCAACTATGTATTGATATACTATATTGAATATTTATGATTCTACATCATGTCGATACTGTTTACTTAGATTTTGGCATTGTATTTTGAGCATGGTTATATGCTTTTCTAAGACGGTATATGACGTTTTTACACTAAATACCATTGGATGTGTATTGACTGATACATAAGGTTTAGAAAACATGATTTATTTATAAGTTGTAATTAGATTTGTACTAGCTTAAAGTGACTGCTTAAAGTTTGCTCTTATTGTTTGTTGTTACACCGATATCACAAGTAATGGGAGGATTGGGCGCTCACAACCATGTTGACCCCACCACATTGTTTGTGTGCATGTCCCAAGTCAGGAGCCTGTTATTCAGGGGTTTGTCGTTGGATCATGTCTGTCTTATATGCTTTTCGTTAGAATAGTTTCACATTTTGTCATTTCGATGCCTTTTATAGCTGACTATACGGTATGAGTTTTGTTCATTGTTAAACTGCGGCCGTACGGTGACCTTAAGCTGCTTAATACATCCCGTGACTTCATTTGGACTTCGGTGGATAGTTATCTCATTGACAATCATACATCTCCGTATTTTTTATAAAGGAAACGAATGATTTATCTCATTCTGCTTGACAACTGATCATGACAGTTCTTTCGCGATATTCAGACAGAGACTTGCAGCCCCGTGCGTTCTCTGTGAACGACGATCTGATGTACCAAAGTCACAGGAAGTCCTGAAAGGCCGTCAAACCTGGACTAATACAAGCAATTTTTCATATGGTGCCCAGGTCCCTTAAATGCTGTTTTTTTTTTTTTTTAATTTGGCTGAAAGGCAGAAATTGTTTTCTTCGTAAAGATATATAGACCATCTTATGCGTTTATTTTATCTTGATTAGTGTTGTAAGGGAAATAATTCGTACATTTTATTAACATCGACCAAAAGTGTAATCAGTTTTATGTGAACCGTGTATGTGTATTCAGGCTGATTGGTAAAATACATCCATTCAAATGCATTTTATCAAACCTTTTTCGCCTTTTTGGAAAGCATATAATTATCAAAATGAATGTATTTAAATAATCACAATGTTATGCTGAAATTTTAAGTCCGCAAACAGTAGAGAAATATAAGAATTACATACATTGTACATTTCTATACACTTTCAAGTTACATTAAACCAGAAGAATAAATTGACACGGATGGACTTCTGCTTGTAATACATCTGTTCTTCAATAAGACCAAACTGGTCAAACATGGACTCGAGAACAAATGCAAATGTGCAAGAAGATTCAGTCATGCAAGATGAGATTGCATAACTGATTTTAATTGAATGCATTTGCAAAATTATATTTCATAAATTAAAATTTTAAGAACTCCATGCATACATTGTACTTGCAGTTAATTTACATTGATAAGCATGGTCCGAGTGGTCACTCCCGTCCATAGCCAGTAAAACCGTTCTGCAGTTTTCTTCCATTATGTTTTCTTTTGTTTACAATACTAATAAATAAGTATCCAAACATACATCTCGAGTCTGAAGTATATAGTGATGAACGTTTATAGGTTAATCATTATTGTTGTTACGACATTTGTAACCCTGATTGTATGCTAAAAATAAATTGTTCATGTAAGCTACAGCTTATTCATTTAACTTATATACAAAGGTTGCCAGAAGACACAAATAACGAGTGCATTGATACGGTTTAATAATGAAACGTAAATCTAAGAAAAAATGAGTTAATCTCAAAAGTACATCCTGCTAGCATGGTTAGGTTTTATCTCGAAATAAATTTGATAAAAAAGTGATAAAAATATTGTTATTAAAAGGAACATGTAGATGTGGTTTTACGCAGAATGTCTTACGTTAAACTCTTACTTTTGGAACTCCCTACGTGTTCCCTTTTTCAATTGCACAAAGCGTGAAGACCTGTGCATAGTACTTTTATTTATATTCCATTGATTAGGCGTTCAAAAGTCTTCAAGTAATGATTAAATCAATTTATTAAAAATTTTCTTTTTGCTAATTGCTTTTTCGTCTATAATCTGTAAAAAAAAACTGAGTGTTCCTTTCAAATTACAATGTCATCTCAAATATATCTCCATGAAGAACTGCAGCCACGGTACATTTCTAATACATTTTTGCAAGAAATAAGGGATCGATTCCGTCCTGCGACTTTTCACACACACACAAATCTCGCGCGTTCTGAAAATGTTCTTTACTAACAAGTATATTAATCTATGGATTTTTAGCGAAATCAGTCGCACATTTGGTTTTTGAAGTCTTTCTCAAATTGTAAGTTTGTGTATAAAAAACTTTTTTTAACTAATTTTCTTGTATTGCATTATCTATCAAATTTTTTTTAATTCTATTTATTTTAAATGTAATGTTCCAACTTTAATCTTATAGAGTATCAACGTTAAAGATTTTACCATTTTTGTATTTACGATGAATATTTCGGTTGTATTTGAACTTGTTTCTAATGAGAAAACGAATATATCAATATATTGCCATGGAACCAATAAATAACTCTTTCTTTGAAAAAAAGACAAATTTATAAGTTTTTGTCCTTTTTATCTTTTTATAAATTCTTTTTCTAAAAGTTCAGACTTGTCAATATAAGAAGTGGTCGGATAATTAATCTATTAAGGCATTCATTGAGCAATTAGAAAACAATTTAATTGATAACATCCGTGTGAGGAGATCGGAGGAGCAGCACAGCATGGGATGGGTCGACGCTTTGGACAATTTATGACTTTAGAAACAATGGGTGTTTGTCACTATATCTGTTTGACCGCTGTATCATTTCACAAGTTGCTATCTCTTTCTGAACTGACCATGGCCGAAAATTCTGCTCTTAGTCCAAATCAAAATCTAGAGAATGATGATTTTGGACCGATAGATTTAACCAAAGATTCTAATGACAATAGCAGTGATACTGACAACGTGATCGTAAGACGAAAACGAAAGCCAAAGAAATTTGAAAATTTATCTGAAATCGCCATCGAAGAAAGGAGGAATACTGCAAACGTTCAAGAAAGAAAGCGCATGAAGAAGTTATCGAAAGCTCTTGAAGATCTCCGAAAGTGTATACCGGCCGAATATCATGTAACCAACCGCAAAATGTCAAAAATTCGGACACTTAAATTAGCTGTTAACTATATTGCTTCTTTAACAGATATCATTGACAGAGACAATTTGTTAAAACAACAAGCCTTCCATCTTGAAAGTCAGATGCTACATTCGACCTATTCTTATTTGATGCCTTCGCCCGTTGGAGTTCAACACGGTAACCTTTCCACTGTGCAACAGTCAGGATTTTCGCCGTATCACACGCCTTGTATTAGTTCCGAACACAGTAGACTGCCGAAACGACATTTAAATTTCTCGCCTTTTTTTGGAACACCAATTCCGTCGATGATTTCGCAGGGAAGACAATTGACATATCAGACTCCGGTGAAATCAGAACCAACTCCGTATAGGAATCCAGAAATGATCACAAGACGTCGTACAAGTACTTTTTCGTCTCCGTCCTTTATTGGTGATCTGAGAAATATGAATGAAGTAAATACAAGTTTTCTCAGCCCAATGGCAGATGACAGTGATGTGGGTTCTGGACCTTCACGTTCAACCGATGCAAATCAGTATACATACACGTTAGACGGTATAAGTCCAATTCCAGAAGAGGAGAATTTCCGAGGAGGGACAGACTGTGTGTTTGATCCAAGACGAAGACTCAAGAAAACAGAATAACGGGATCGGTAAGTGCTTTACTTTAATGTTTAAAATATATAAATGATTTAAAGCTCTAAATTATTCAGCGCTAATAAATTGAAATAATTTTTAACTAAAGCAAAGGCCGGGCACAGAAAAACGCATAGTACACATGCATGTGTTACTGTATGCTCAGAGAGTAAGTACAATAAGTAATTAAACATCAGCACAAAATAAAACTATAACGATATTACAGGCGATAAAAAAGAATGCTACAAAATCAACAATAGCAATTCTACATGTACCTGGTAGCTCGAAGCTAATGAACGCTATCCGTTTTAAGCACTTAAATAATCTACTTTAGATCATTTCGGTTATTTATACATGATTTTGAGCGTTCCTGGTGAAGTTTATCAAGAAAAGCGCTACAGACTAACGAAATTTACAGAGAATTATTTGTATTTGTAGGGAGGTACTAATCGCATTTACCTCAATTATTGTCTGATACAAAAAGGTCAGCATTTATTAGATATTTTACTATTGTTGTATATATATTATTGCAAAATTGCAAATACAAGTTAGTGAAAAACTTTGTTTTGCTTGGTGCTCCCAATTGAAAGGAGTTAAATAATATATATGTAACCACAACTTCTCACACTCTAAGTAATATCTCTCTATATACTATTTCAAATCATAAGAGTATTATTATAAACATTGACAGGGTCAAGGAAGTAATTCCAACATTACATCAACCATAAACAAAATCATGCATGGATAATAAAACATACAACAGAAATGGTTATGTATGCAGAATTGAAATTCCAAGATTTTAAATTCAGTACAATTTCTAGAAAAAAAATTAGACGATGAAGCTCAAATGTAAAACTTTCAATGTTGATATGCTGCATATTTCAATTAAAGTATATAAACAAGAAATTGAATGTTATCAGTGTTAGACAAATATGCCTACTTTTAACTAATAACTCTTGGGTACAAATATCAGTTAAAAATTCCTAAAATGTGTAAAAATGTCAACAAATGTGTGGTAATAAATTGCAGTTATTGGACCATAACAAATATCGACAATATTTTAAAGAATATTATCATAAGGATTTTTATTCGTTAATCACTTTTTTATTCAAAAAAATAAAATAAACACCAAGTTCAGGAATTTTTTTTTTAAGATGGCATGATGTTAAATCCGAAATAAAAAACGACGAAGTTTTGCAAGACCCAAATCTATATACGGGGTTGATGACCTTTGACTAATACTATATCAGATATTTTGTAAAGTTATTTTCATCATTTATATAATCAACTGTATCCTTGCTATTCTTTCACAAATATTTCGTTCATCTGCAGAAAAAAATTCAAATCTGCTAGTTTTACGAGTTTTATTCATACAAGAAAGCAATTAAGTTTATAATGAAGTATACAGACGGAGAAAATCCTTTCTTTTAAAAATATTGAAAAGAAATTTTGCCTTGACACGACAACAAAAGGATTCCGTTGAAGCTTCTCGGCTCCTTTTTTTTTAACTGATATCGTTCTAGTTGTATCCCCTTATTCAGATCAGACGTTTCCAAGGGTTTCGACATCACTGCTTAAATAGGTACTCAACCAGTCTTATTTTTTATGTATCTATTACCTTTGAGGTAAAAACGAATATATATATTTTTTTTGTAAACGTATAAAATTTTTCTTTCACCAAAAATAACAGACATTCAAATGGAAAAAAATTATTTTCACAAAAGTGTCGTTGGGTTGTTGCCTCCATGACGAAATACCTCCTTATTTTATAAATAGATAGATAGCTAGATATTTTTATTTCAAACTACAACTTGGTACATGTATATAAAATACAGTATATTACAATTTTAAACATAATTATGTATATAGTCAATAAACATGTATACTGATACCAACCTTATCCTGAGACTGAAATCTTCTGATATAGTTTCAATATACCAGTTTTGTTTTATATTTTATATATAATTTATATTTCAAACGATGTGCGCAAAGCCAATGATTTAAAGATATTGGAACATTAAAATTTGACTCAAATCCATCATATTCTGTTGAAAGAGACATTCTGAAAAAAAATGATATCTGTAAAAACCATAAAGAATTGTAACTTTCAACTTCACCAATGATTTAGTTCCTGACTTACTTTGTTTTAATTCAGCAAAAAAAAAAAAAAGAGAACAAATCTAAATTTTTTCATTTGACCCTATTCTAATATTACTTTGTGGTTTAAGTATTGCTTAATGTACGATTATTTTTAATTCTGAAGAAAAAAATTGAAACAGAAATCGTATCATTTTCCACAGCATTCTTGTTTGTTGATTATCATCAATTATTCATGTATTTGAAATAAAACAAAACATAAATCAAGTACAATTTATTCAATGACATTTATGAATCATAAAAAAATCGTTTTCTTTTTTATTAGTCGAACAGTGGATATTGTTATATAACAGTGCAATAAAAAGAAACACCCAAATTCTATTAAAAAATCATATATTATAGAATTAATTTTTTAACACAAATATATTTTGACATTTATTTTTCCTCTTTTAAAAAATATCCCAACATTAATTTTTATCAATTTTTAAAAAAAATTATAAATTAAAATGCAGATTAAGTATTAAATCCAATTAAAGATATTTAAATTCTTAGCTCTATTTTCATTTCTTTTGAAAGAATAAACAATAGGTAACTTTATATAAAGCCGGAGACGGGGTAAAGTTGCTTGACCGTTTGATGTAATTAGCAACGTCCGTTGATTTAGCATTTTCACTGGGGAATGGTCAGCTTTTATCGTTTTACAACAGGCTATTATTTGGACATTAATTCTGTGTTACTTAACACCTTAGTGCAAAGAAACGGGAGTTTAAACGGATTCTTGAAACCAAAGGAAGATCAGATAATTCAACAAGGTGGTGCTAATGACCGATATGCCAGCAGATTTTATGATAAACGATTACGTCCCTATCTAATCAGTGATGACGCCCTTTAATTGAGCAATAAAATAATTAACAGGTTGAGGATAGTCCCTGTGTGTTCCGTTACTGATGCTGGTCGAGTTGGTAATTACATGCCACTTGATCTTTCTTTTGATTAATTTGTTTCAGTCATTTGTCGGTACTTTGTAAATTCTTTCGATTTCATTCTTTTGATTAATTTTTTTCTCTCATTTGTCGGTATTTTGTAAATTCTTTCGATTTGTAAAGATTGGTATGTTTTGTCATTTCAAATCTTAATCTATGAAGGTCAAAATAATTCAAATGTATTACTGTTTTGAACAAAAGGATACTATATAATGATAAAGGACAGATTTTAATAAAAAAAAAAGTTTTTTAATTGAGACTTATATAAATTAATTCGTTTATCGTATATATTTTTATTTAGTTTCAACTGGTTTGAACTTATCTTATTGTTTAAAATTACAAATGGACCAGAATGAGATATCTTCTCCATAACATGATGCACAACTATGTACATTAAAGAATACAGCACGATACACTCGACGCTAACAAAGTATGTTTGCATGAATACATAAAAACATCAAGGGTACTAGGTTGAGATTAAAAAAAAATCAATGGATAAAAAAACGAGTGCGTCTTTTTTTAACTGAAATATCGTGAAAAAGACAGTCGTTATCCGGCCAATTGTTTTATCAGTTGATATTTTTATATCTTCTCTTTTCTGTTCATTAGTTTGCTTTGTCGCTACAATATTTTGTTTTGAAGAGGAGGGAGAGGATTTTGTTGGATTGTTCGTATTTGCTGTCGTAGAGACTTTAAAATATTTTTTCACATAACCTTGATGTTTGCTATTAATTTTCCTTACATTCTTATTTAGCTCCAATATTTAGGATTCAGCAATTTCAATAGTATTTACTCATTTAACATAGAGTTCAATCAACGGAAATAATATAAAAAGAAGACCATTGAAGGCAAACATATGAATTGGTTTACATATGTATTTTGTCTTCTTAGACTAATTAGAATACAACATGTACACCCTACATATATTTTGCAATGAAATTTGAACATTTTAGTATTGTTAAACCACGTTATTAAGTATACAATTTAATATCTGAAATATTGTTCTTGATTTTAGTACACACAAAAATGTTTGTCCCGAGAACAAAATCCATGACACCCTCAAACGAATGGTCGTTGCCTAATATAGCTTTAGTCCATATTGACGCATGTTGTATAAACGCCAATAATTATTACAAATGCAGTTCAGTCCTTAAACAAATACTACATTATGATTTTAGAACCTCAAAAACACGAAGCTGTGATACTGTGAATTATCGAAAAGATTGAATTTTTTTTTTCAAAATGACCCCGAGTTGAAATGATTTTAAGGGAAATTGACATTACCTATTTCCCCAAAACGTCAACACATCAACATATCAAGGATTTACAGACTAACAAAAATTCTTGATAACAAAGGGAAAATGTTATATTTTCCAACATATTTATAATATTTGAAGCAAAACTCACACTTGCAAACAAAAGTAATGATAAAACCTAAAAATCCATGCAACTAGAAAAAAGTCATGATTTGAAATCTTTGTTTTTCAGGTATACAGACCCGAGTGGGACCAATGTAGTGCTACAGAGCAGCTAGATGACTTCAGTGCAGAACTTTTGTATGCATGCAACTTTGTGAAACAGTTTTTATCTATGTGTCAAATTTATTAAATATGTATATGAAAATATGGGTAATAGTTCAAATGAAGCCCTTGATTTTTGAGAGAAAAAAATGTATATATAGTTCAAAAGCAGACATGCATTTTGGAAAAGGTAAACATTTAACTATTTTGCGTGATATATAAATAAGGAGATGTGGTATGATTGCAATTTGACAACTAACTACCAGTGACCAAATAACCCATTTGTTTTCAAAAATAACTTGACCGCGATTCTCGAATGTGGATTCTTGGACTTTGACATTTTGCTTTGTAAACGTGAACTTGTTGTAACAATTGACATTTTTTGTCTTGAAAACCTTACTTCTGAAATCACAAAATCAGAGGTTTTCTGCTATATTTTTTTTCTCCTGTTTTCCTCCGTCTTTTATTTTTGACTTTGTCAATGGAACGTATGTCCACATTTTTAAAAAAACTGCGATTGAAACAATTCTAATTCACAAGATACACGGGTACAATTTCTTCGATGATGTTCCTGGTAAAATGACTGTGTAATCTCTTACCTTAATGGAGCATATTACAGTCCCCCCCCCACAAAAAAAAAAAAAAAAATTAAAAAAAAAGATATGTTTTGTTGAAATTCTCGATTGCACGCAGTCAAGGAATCAAAACATTACTTATCTGATTTGTCAAAAGCCATTTCCAACTTTTTTTTACAGATTGTTCTTGTGTTGTGTTGTTACACTACCGTCCCAGGTTAAGAGAGGATCGAGCGCTTACAAACATGTTTAACCCCGCCACACTCTTTATATGCCTTCCCCAAATCAGGAGCCTGTGTTTCAGTGGTTGGTGTTTTTTGCTGTATATCATATTTGTTTTGTGCTTGTTGTTTCATTTAGATATAAGGTCGTTAGTTTTCTCGATTGATTTTTTCAACATTTCTCATATCGGGTTTTTTTATAGCTTCCTCTGCAGTATTCGTTTTGCTCGTTGTTGAAGGCCGTACTGTGACCTGTAGTACCAAAGTTTTACGTCAATTGGTAACTGGTGGATAGTTTTCTCATTGGTAATCATAACACACATTATTTTTATGTTCAAAATTGAATAATCTTTAATTTGCTCCTTATTTTGTCACAATGCACCTTTTGGTAAAAGGTCTTCAGAAAATAAAATAAAATCGCATATTGGACGAGTTGACATGACAATAAAATATATGACGACATTTATGAAAAAGGTGTACATTATGACGTACGTGTAATTGTGCTATCACCCATCAAAACTATTGTGCAGTTATATTTCTTGATCGTATGATTTTAAGACATTATGCGCAAATTCGGAATAGTTTTTACACATTTTGAATGAGCCTTAATGTCCGGAATTTGGTATTGGAAAATTATGTGCAGCCAAATGTTCGAGAAATGCATTCAACTGGACGACAATTAGGTATCTGCAAGGAATTTAATCGTACTTGTTTTTTTTTTATAAGTTTTATGATGTTTATAATAATATAATATATTTATGTTAGGCTACCACATTTGTACATTTTTCATCTCATCAAATGATTTTACATTGTCAAATTCGAAACTAACTATGCGTCGATTCTGTGTCGTATCTTGCACTCTTTGGTGTAGGAGGAGGAGTGTTAGCTTCCGGTACAAAATAGTCATTTCCATCTGAGTAATTACTGTCATTTTTATCAATTATACGCATCATTGGTCTTAAATCTGGAACTGATTCCGGTCGCAAAATATAGTCACTTCCCTCGTTTTCTGACAGTGTTGTGTATTGCCTTTCCATTTTATGTCGTTGAAAATTAGAAAGACCATCGTATCCGGGTTTTGGAGAATCCATTGCAATGGAAAACACAGATGCATCATGTTCACCAGTCGGATCATTTTCTAAACCGTATGTCACGTTTTGATTTTCATGCTGCCCTAATTTGAGCTTAACATACCTTGCCTGAAAATAAATTATATCATCTGGATTTGTACGTCGGTAAATACTAATGCCTTTAATTCAAACCAGTAAATTATATGTGTATGACAAGCTGTAAGCTAATTCTGTACATAGGCGGATACAGGGGGTGGGGCTGAGGGGCCCGGCCCCCCCTTTTGTGTGAAAAATTTGGTTGATTATATAGGGAATCACTGAAGCATGACTGGGGCGCCCCCTCCCCCCTTTAGGTCAGTCAGTGGGCCCCCCTTACAAAAAGTTCTGGATCCGCCACTGCTGTAGATGTCATTTGGTTGTGTGTGCGTTAAATCGATGTTTCGCATTTCATTTTATTCAAACTGATTCTGTTTTATTTTAGAAAAATATGCGTAAGGAGAGGTTACTCTAAAACATCACTATTTGTTATCTGCCAACAAAATTATCATCAGATAATTCAAACTAAGGTTTTCAGATCAAATAAATAGTATCGTTAGCCTTAAAAGGGGAAACACCCCTTATAAAATAGTTTCCCTTATCATGGACGTTTTTTTAATTGTGGAATGATTTGTCTTTTCGTCGATTTTCTTTTGATGCCACGGTTTTGTCAGTCTCTCTTCGATGTATGTACTTTGATTTTCTCTTTGTATCTTCCGCCTCTACTAGTATTCTGTGGATTATTTAATTTGCGTTATAATAATTGATTAGCGAATATAGGGCTATATTTTGTACCTTTTTTCAATTTAAAACCAATTCTTTGTTATTTAAATCATAAAGTATGGTTTACTTTTCAAGTTCCTCCCTGTAAACAAATACTAACTTTAATTTTCAATAAATTCATCAAGAACTATAATTCTTTTATGATATTTATACATTGTCGGAAAATATGATTTTTTTTTATGTGTACGAGCTTCATAAACAGGACAAAAGCGTGAAAAATTGTATATTTCCGACAATGTACATATATTGTTTTTGTCCTGCAATTTACATAAGGCAATTTAAGGTTTAGTTGTTTAATTCTAAATAGTTGTCTCTTATTTTTTTCAAAGAAATCGACATAGTTAAAAGGCGGACCGCGAAGAGGACCCCAAATTGATCTGTCACACACAAACAATATTCAGATACCGTCTGCTCAATATGGAAGCGGAATAACAGGAGAATTTATTTGTACAAATACAAATAAAGCAAACAATTATTTGTGTACCTGTTATTTGTGGCCGATAACATGGTAATGCCTTTTGTGGCATTAATAGCCAGGTACCTGTATGGTTACTTCAAAAAGATTTGGTGGTACATTTTTGTATCTAATTTCCTTCAACATGAAAATTTAACATATAACAATAACATTGTGAATTTTTGAAATAGCCATAAAGATTTCATTCTGAGTCTATTTGCAGATAGTTAGGTATTCACAATTTGCCAAAAAAATGTACTTTTGAACCATCTTGGTAACAAGTGTGAAGAAATACACCATAATGTTTAAAAAAATCATAAACGCATGCATGCAAGCCTAAAATTGTGATACCTTGAATTTTAGTAAAGATGGAGAGACCTTTTGAAAGCGACCCTAGATATAGAAAATAGTTATGTTGATCATTAATCAGATAACGAAAATGCAATGGTATTTCAAAACGCAGTGTAAAATTTATACACATACTTGGTCTGGATCCATAACCTCACGAATTTCAGCATAGTCAACCGAGCCTCTGTGTTCCAAATTATAGGCTGCGTTATCATTTTCAGCAGTCCTAAAAATATAAACAAAATTCTAAAAAGGGGAGATAAACCAAGGGAAAAAACAATGCACAAGTCGAAGAAAAAAACAGTAATCTAAAACACCATTGTAAAAAGGAAAAAAAAGCATAGGCAAGCAACAGTTCAAACACTACATATACTACTCAGATTGAGTCACATGAATCCAACCAAAACCTTGGGTCGAACGTGAGTGCTCCGGAAGGGTAATCAAACCCACTAGTTACAATCCTCGTATTAATCATATCAAAATCCGTTAATGAAATATATTCCGTGATAAACTCTAGCTATTTATTGCCTTTTTGTTGAACTTGATGCTTTGAGGGCAGCTATTTGATAGCTATCAATAGTTCGTCTAGTCTAGCAGAGAATATGTTGATGTGATGCTGTCTCAGTTTATAAACACATGTATATCTCACATACCCCTTTAATTTACTGATTACTTATAGTTTAGAAAATTGTTACCTGTCTCCCGTACGATATACCTATAGGTCGATGATGAAAATTATGAAAAGTGGGGACTTAGAGGGATTGGATGTCCTGCTTATAGACTCTTTCATTTTAGATGCTCCAAAACATTTCACGTTATTGGCTCATCAATCAGTTGCTGCCAGGTATATTCCAGATAGACGTGTAGAAAAAGAAAAGGTTTGTGCGCACATAGAATTGGATAAACCCCGCATCATTTTGTGCATGTTCCAAGTCAGGATATATGGACAGTGAGTTAATTGCTCGATTTTGTTTGTCTCTGGGGTTTTTTTTCGGAGCAGTTGGTTTATGTGGTCTGATGTACCGTCCAGTATTTTTTGTGATTTCTGCATGTGCTATCTTTTTATAAATTGTCATGTGTATACATAGGCAAATCAGAAAAATATCTGACAGCGTCAGCGCATACATTTATTACACAACTAAAAAAGGATAAAGTCGAGGTGTCGAGGTTGGATTCTTTTTTTTTTGCTATAGTAGTCTCTTTCTATAATAAAGTATATTATTTCGTTTTACCTATAATTTCGACCAAATACTTCAAATTTTGAATATTGATATATAATTAACCTTTGACCAAATACTTCAAATGCTGAATATTGAAAACCTTTGACCAAATACTTCAAATTTTCAATATTGAAAACCTTTGACCAAATACTTGAAAACATCATTTGATTATTAGCATCAGTTTTTTTTTGTATAGTTTGAGATTGGTTTTCGATTGTTACAACATTATAGAACTGAAACCAATATTAACCATTGTGGTTGAATAGTTACCCCTTTCCAATCAGTTTCCTCTTGGACCTCCAGTAAACGAACAGTAAAGAAAGAATTAATACAACGACGAGTACAGCTCCCACACATCCGCCAATAATGTCACCATTATCATTTCTGGTGTTCTGTTGAAGAGCTGGAGTTGTACTTTCCCATGTAAAGTCATCTGTAACTAAATAACATTGCTGGTCTTTTCAATAATAACACACAGAACAAATTAAAATGTACGGTCATAGTTCAATTGGTAAGAGCGGGGAACCTCCCCTCCCCACTTTACAAGTCCTTGATCCAACAGCAAAATTAAAGAATCAATTTAAACTTCAAACATACATGTACCGATGGGGTTATTTTAGAAATGCGTTTCAAATTTCAGATAGTTTGTGATCACATAAATAGGAAATCCGTGATAACAAATTGGAGAAACCGCTATAAGAAATGGTAGAATTACGAATGTAAAATCAATAACAATCATGATGAAGATCAATCAACATTTTACATGAAAATTAACAATATATGCATCCATTGGTTTTCCCGTTTGAATGGTTTTACACTAGTAATTTTTGGGGCCCTTTATAACTTGCTGTTCGGGTGAGCCAAGGCCCCGTGTTGAAGACCGTACTTTGACCTATAATGGTTTACTTTTATAAATTTTGACTTGGATGGAGAGTTGTCTCATTGGCACTCATACCACATCTTCTTATATCTATATCCAGAATACAATTAACACAAACACACTAGAAAAACAACGATTAATTCCACCAGCACAAGACTTCTACGTGATCTGGTCTCTGGTGGAGATTTTTCTCATTGGCAATCTTATTTTTATATTGATTTATTACATTTGGTACATTTATAAGCGTTCTTAACTCGAAACCTTTTATGGGTTTAAGTCTTATTTTGTTTATGTTGGCACGTTGTGTTGTTTTTCAAACACTCTGTTGGTTCTCAGTCATATAAATAATAGTCTCAGAAATATGTTAATTAGAATCTTATATATGACGGAAAGAACACTAATTTCCAAAATATTCCAATAATAATCAAAAGTTTATACACAGACAGACGGACAACAAACTACGCTCACACTATTTAATTGGTGAATTGTTTTATTTAAGATTAAGGGTCTGACTCATCTCTTTTCTAGTTTATGCCCCTTTTCAATATCAATACAGAAAAAGAAATACTAGTAAGTCATGCTTATAAAACAGGAATGTTATATATAACTAAGGAACCTACCGTAATCATCGTAATCCTCGTAACACGATCCATTGTATGAGTACTTATCTATTATTACTTGTATATGATGTCCGAACGTCTGTTCGAACATTGACTGGTATTGGTCACAGAATGTGTTTAAATTTTCCGAAATGCATCCCAGTAGATACTTCGTACTCCTAACAAGAGACAGGAATAACTAAAGCTACATATATAGTTACATTTGTAAGCAATTATTCAGGATAAAATAAAGTGAGATATGAGACGCGAAGACATATAATAACAAACCAAAAAAGAAGGTATGGTAAGGCCATTTTAGTCCATTGAAGTCGGAAATGAAAACATCTTCTAGATCTTTCAAATAATTATTGATTAAGTGCTGCTTGCTTAATGTCCATTGGCAAATATTTCAAACATATTCATAACGAGAACTTATAGATTATTAATATATACAGGTACTGTAGGTTCTGCAAGACATGTCGACCAGGATGAAGGCCGGGGAATTTTGATAGATACCGATAACGAGGGTAAACTATGTTAGAAAAGGGCACACATTTTGCCTTTCCAACGGATTATGCCTCAGAGAGTTGTTGCAAATGAACCTCTTTAACGTGCACAATACGTTGCACTCTAAATTAACGTGGCAGATACTACGTCATATTCCAAGCAGACATGCATCCCACACAGCCAATTGCAAACGGATTCCCGTCCTTAGCAAGAGTTCTACTTTCGGACGAGATAAGTCCATCAGATGACCATATTCATATATTCAAGTCAGCGCTTGCCTCCTTTATGTATTAGCAAAACACAGGTCTGTAAGATACTAGTACTGAATAAAATACTAGTATTTTAAAAATTTTATCAGATACTTTACTTGCTATATCGGCATTAAAATTTCTTGAAATATTGGGAAAATAGATTTTTAAGCATTAGCCTTACAGGCAGCAATATTTTGGCAGAAAATATCATAAGCTAATTATCGCTATCAAATCTTCCTTCAAAAACTATATTGGTCACAGATGTCCCTATCACAGATTTTCATTAAAAATTTGGTCAAAGAAAAGGCGAGAGTTTTTACAAGGAAAAAGGGTTCTTATAAACTTCTTACATAATGACTACATTGCTAAGCACTAACATGTTGACATGAGTAAAATATCGCTAAAAGGTAAGAAGAATTTTACTATTTCATCAAATCACGGGGTCTAATCATGTATATTACGGAAGCGTATTAGCGCCACACAATTTTTATTTTATAATTTTCTTCCTATCAGTTTGTGATATAACGCAAACCTTTGCGAAATAACGCAAACCTTTGCGTTATAACGCAAACCTTTTGATTTCAATTATTCATTAAGTTTTGTATATACATCTGTATGTCCGTCTGTCATTAAATTTCTGTTGTGATTTAGTTAGGAAAAAGAACCATAAATACAAGGCAAAGTCATTATAATAAATATGAATTGGAATCAGAAAAGTATATAATTTAACAAGAAAATAAATATGCTATAGGCATATTTTATTTGAAAGGCCAACATTTTTAAAATTTTGATTAAGTAGATAAGAGCAAAAGTAATGTTATACAATTGTAAAACTGTCAAGTCAAATAGACAAAATAATCTTTCTGCTGTAAAATGAATTATCAAGAAAGAATTTTTTTTTTTAATTTTGATGTAAGAAATCGTTTTTTAAAATCTCAGAATATGATAAAGATTCTTTGATAAAAAGTCATGAAATTTTCAATTTAGTGTGGTAACTTGGAAGCAATTTAAATGGAGAGAACATAATTTTATTAATAAAACATCTTCATTTTATTCATTAATGCAAAAGGGTAGTTAACCAACCTTACACAATCCTCAAACGAGAACTTACTTTGGAAGTGTATTTATATTCGGCTATAGCTATATTAGCAGGGTTGTTTTTTTTTCTTCGGTGTAACTTTAATTTACTCAATTTTCATTATATTAATATATGTACATGTATTATCATGTATACCATTTTGGGGGCACTTTATAGCTTGATGTTCGGTGTGAGCCAATGTTCCGTGTTGAAGACCGTACTTTGACCTATAATGGTTTACTTTTACCAATTATGACTTAGATGGAGAGATTTCTCATCGGCACTCATACCGCATCTTCTTATATCTATTATCCTGCTCATTATTAGTTAAATAGTAAAGCATTTTACTTTGCAATGAGTACAAAGAAGATACATTTATATATGCAGCCTCCTCCATTAATAACTGCTGCTTCCTTTGAATCTTAAATAAGAAATAAGATAAAACAAATGTTTGCGTTATATCGCAAAGGTTTGCGTTGTAATAATAATAATAATAATAATATCTTTATTTAGAGAGAGTAACTTATTTGGATTACACCAATTTTCAATACGGCTCTCTTAATACAATAATAATTACATTAAATATAAACAATACATATTCAATAATAATGATAAATAAAGATGTAATACAATTTAAATACAATAAACAATTATTATATATGGCATTACAGTACAAATATCATGGTAATGTTAAAAGTGCATAGATTCGTAGTTATGTTTAAATTTTAATACTGTGTTTGATTTTTTAATTGAATTAGGAAGAGCATTCCATACTTTTGGTCCATTGTACGAGAAACTTGACTTATACAACTCTGTATTTGGTTTTGGAATTATAAAATTATATGAGGACGAAAATCTCGTATTGTATTTTTAGTTTGCAGAAGCTGATAAAATAAGACTGGGCATACATTCTGGAGCTAAGCCATGTTTTGCCTTATACATTGGTAATGATTTATGATAATGTATTCTTTGTGTAATCGGCACTATGTTACATTCGTTAAATAATTCGCTTGAAGGTTTGGTGTAATCATGTTCGTCTAAAATTATTCTTGCTGCCCTTTTTTGCAGTTTTAGTAAACTATCTGATAGAAAGTTATTACAGTTTCCCCATATTGAACAACAATAATCTAAGTGAGGTAAAACGTAAGCGTTGTAGAACATTTGTCTAGTTTTGTGATTTAAATATTTCTTTATCCTTTTTAGTAAAGCTAAAGAAGAGTTAACTCTTTTTATGATATAATCAATATGAGAAGACTAAGATAGAGATGCATCAACAAAAATACCTAGAACCTTTTCACATGTACTTTCTTTAATTTGTTGTCCATTCATAGCAATATTAATGTTTTCATTTGATGGAGCTGAAAGCTTCTGTTTAGAGCCAAAACATATAGCCTTCGTTTTAGATACATTTACAGCCATTTTATTATTTTAAAATGTTTGCGTTATTTCGCAAACGTTTGCGTTGTAACGCAAAGGTTTGCGTTATTTTTGCAAATATTTGCGTTATAACGCAAAAGGTTTGCGTCATAACGCAAACGTAGGAAGAAATATAAAAAAAAGTTGTGTGGCGCTAATACGCTTCCGTAGTATATCGTGGCACAATTGAGTCTTTTGTTGTTATACAATTCAGATCCTCATATATAGCTATGACCTACCAACAAATATCATCATCTCTGGTGAGTGCATTTACATCATGATATATTTCTGGATAAAAAGTCATATCCATACATGTTAACGCCTCCAAACAACACCATGTAGCTGTATATGAGTCTAGAATAAAGAAATATAATAATAAAATCCCCCTAATCTTAAAATCACATATGATTTTCACTAGCCAAGACTGCCGAAGAAGATACCCGATTTGTGGATCGTCCATTGATTGTTGCATTTTGGTCAGAACTTTTTTTTAAATTTGAATAACATATATTAACATAATCCATTCAAAGAGTGTTATTTTCTATTCATTTGTAGAAGTAGTTTAACACATTTTTCTTATCTCTTTATCCATTTAAGTGTGCTTTAATTTGTAAATAGTTTGTCAGTTTATAGATAATAATGTTACAATATGAAGTCAACCAAATTCAAGTTCAAGATCAACATCAACATTTCAATTAGTTTCTAACTTATTGACTAAGGATGTGATTTGTTCCTTAGAACATTTGATAAAATGTATTAGTCCTATCGTGCGTTATAAGTTTTGAATAAAAGTAGGAATTTCAAAATATTCAATCTGTTGTCAGTATAAAAATAAGAAAACGTGATATGATTGCCAATGAGACAACTCTCCACAAGAGACCAAATGACTTAGAAATTAACAACTATAGGTCACCATACGGCCTTCAACAATGATTAAAACCTATCCCGCCTAAGTCAACTATAAAAGGCCCCGAAATTTGCTCATAATAACTCTACTTATCATGCTTATGAAATTCATATTTCAATTTCCTTTAATTTCGGGACCTTTTATAGCTTGCTATGCAGTATTGGTTTGCTAATTGTTGAAGGCCGTACGGTAACCTAAAGTTATCAACTTCTACGTTATTTGGTCCCTGATGGAGATGGCTTATTGGCTCTCAAACCACACCTTCTTAATTCTATATAGGAACGAATTTTATAAAAAATCTAATTTGAATTTAGTACAATTTGTAGATTTCATGCAAGTCATAACTCTATCACATTTTAAAAAGTCAAAAAGAACTTCATCTTCTCACCTCCTGATGAAACATGTACATGCAACCCGACTACAAGACTTTTATATGGTTACGGATGCGTACTGAATTATATTATTTTGAAAAATGAACCCTTTGAAGAAGTGATCGACCGGAGAACGAAGACTTTTGGCCACACAAATAATGTTGAACTAAGTCCTTTCTTAAACTTAAATATAAGTTAAACGATAAAATTAAGTAAAAAACTTAATGTTGTTGCAAATAATAAAAAAAGTAATTGAAAAAAGATATCTCTTTAAAGTCTTACCGTTATAAAACCATGCACATGCAACCTCCGAATTAGAAAGAAATTCCAAAGCTTTAATCACGGTTTCGTTACCATACATCTTTTTAAGAATACTATTTTATAAAATGTTAGCTTTAATTTCAATTAAAACCATAGCCCAAAACCGACAATAAAAAGATAAAATGATTTAATAAGATTGTATCAAAATTTTTCACTTATCAACGTCATAAATCAATTGTTGTTCTGTGCGGTCAAGCGTTACCGTGCTGGTCTGTTGTTTAAAGTGAAATCAAGAAGGCTGTACTTGAATAATATGTATCCTGGTTAAAATGGACTATTGAGTTTGAATTATATTGATAACGTTTCACGGGATATTTGACTTTTCTTATTTTTGAAAGCTTCGGGCATTTTAAATACTTTTACATGTTTATTCATACCTTCCGAATTGGTCCATCGCCAAATCCTATACGCGCAGTATAAAAACACCGTTGAAAATTCGTCATTTGATTTGAATTAAAGATAAATAACATTGCAAGGCTCGCAAATCGTACCCATTATTGAGTATGAACAAGTGTATTAAAATGTGCGTTATTGATAGGCTTATTCCTTATTTGTTGTTAAACTTTTAAAGTTTCCAACAGTCATGTTTAGGTTTGAAGAACCATATCGTTTGATGGTGTCAGCATTGACGTTACAGATTATTTTTTGTTCATATTGGAACTATTTCATTATGGAATCAGTGGACAGAGTTTAAAATGGCTTTCCAATTTAACATTAATTTGAGAGGTATTATGCTCAGACAATTTTACGTTTTCTGGAGAAGAAACATGAGCAAGATTATATCATTATTACTTGAAAAGATTTTAGTTTCAAAGGTAAAACCAAAAAAAAAAACAAAGGAAAACCGTATTTCAAGTTTGGGTTGAAAAATGTTCCAGAAGGAAATAATCTATGAGTTTGATTAAGTGATTCAAAATTATGGCTCATACATAGACAATATGAAAGGCAGCTTTTTTAAATTTGCATCTCATTTATTTTTATTGACAAATTTGATTTAGTAAATGAGGAAACACGTCGCTTTGAAACCGTGACCATTTCTTTTATGATGCAGCTTTGGCACTTGATTATGAAACAGTTTGTGTAACTGAATATAGTGGCAACAATAGGACTTGTTCTGACATGTAAATTTGTACAGGTTTTGAGATATTGTCTAAAATCGTAAAAAAAAGATCGGAAATGTCGGAGAAAACGTAAACAAAAGAAGTATTTCAAATGTAGTCAGATGAGTCATGTACGAGTAAAATGTCATCAAAAGGTGGTAAAAGTCAATATTGATGCTCAAAAGTCTGCTGCTTCCGGTAGTATTTATAAGTTTTCAGAAGCGGAAGTTTTGATTTTTTTACGATTAAGAAGGACTGGCATACTGAAAAATACAATCACTGACCTTACTGCATTTTCTAAAGGTTTTATTTCATTGTTATGTGTGTGTGTGTGTGTGTGTGTGTGTGTGTGTGTGTGTGTGTGTTATTTTTTGTTATTTGATAACAAATTGTGTTCTCTTCTTTTACGACAACTGAAATGTGCTTCATGTATGAGTATAAACTGTCCCACAAATTATGCTCTTATTTGGGTTATTTTTATGAATAATACTGCTTTAACGCTTTATCTGTAGGAAGATGTATAGAATATCGAATAGTTATTATAGTTTGAATTGTTTTTTTTTTTTTTTTTTGGTTCTGACTCATTGGTCTAAAGTTGTAATCTCCAACTTGATATGTTGAGTTTAGTGAGATTATGGAGGTCTGACTGTTAGTGACTTTTGTTAGTGATGGTAGAAAGCAATTGTTTGTAATATATTGAAGTTTGGAATGTGTCGTGCTCCTTCAGAACGTAGCACATAGATTGACCCGATCCATCTCAAGTTGAACAATGCTTCGTTTCTTTTATAACAACGTTGAAGTCCTAAACCCGATGGTATATGTCAAACGTATCTATACCATCATGAAAACTACACTCAGTCTGGATTATACTCTCGGTATGCACTTAATCTATAACGCTTTGGATGCACCAAATTGACAAAGTGTTATTTTTAGTTTTAAGAAGTTCCCTTCTAAGATTTAAAAAAATATTTAACTCTTATGCATTTTAGATGTGAGTTTATGAATTATAGATGATAACAAATATAGATATCGTTAAATTGGACAACAAATTTAAATACATAGTTATCCTAAAAAACAGAAGAGTTACAAAGTATTATGGAAAAGTTTAAAACCTGGAAAACGTGAGAAACAAACATTTATAAGAGGGTCGTAATGGGGATACCTTCATGACGAATAACGGTAAAAATTCTTGCCAAATGACGTTAACGGTAATTTTTGGTGCATGACGATAAAATGTACAATTTCTTTTAGACGATAAAAAAATCAACTGATTTTGACGAATCACGCTAATTTTTTTCCAAAAATAACGGTAACGATAATAATTTGAGACCTCTGATGAATCACGATAAGTATATTTTGACGAATCACGGTAAAAATTTAACCAATTTGACGCTAACGGTAGCCGAAAATGACCGTTTGACGCCTGACGGTAAAGGGCATTACTACCCTCTTATAATATTGGCAATATAAACTATCTGGGTCGATTCGGGAAGGGCGCACTTCACTCCCTCGCTTCACCGCCTAAAATTGGAAAAAATATCACGCCCCCACTCACCCCAAATTTGGATCCCGGCTGCTGAACTCTCCGCCTCTTTTGATTTCTTTGTATAACATTTTAGATACAATTCTATTTAAAAAAAGTAAGATTTATCAACAAATTTATTAACGAAGACGTTATATATTTTGTTGTTCATTCAAGCTTAACCGTACTGGTCAGTTGTTAAGAATCATACATAGACCACTGCGCTTTAATTACAAAATTTCACGGATGTTGCATTTTAACATGTTTTCCTTATAAAAGCTTCGGGCATTAAAGTTGTCCTCCATGTGTAAACATTTCAACTCATTTCTTTTTATCTAAGTTTCATGGCGATCAAAGTCCAAGTCTAGTACATGCAGTATAAATACACCATTGAAAATTCATTGTCTGATTTTAAATCACAGCGAGTAACATTCAATTTTACACTTTTCGCAACTGATCCTTACATTAAGAATGATCTTGCAAATGATTATAATCCCCGTCATAGATTTTTGTTTGTCGCTGCAAAACTTTTATTCTATTTATGCGCGGATAGAAGGTTTGTTTACGGAATACAAACTCCCTTGCATCATGTTTCACTTTTGCAATATTAAATCAAATGATGAAATTCTAGCGGTGCACATAACACGTTCTTGTGAAGGTGACCATGTGCAGCGTTAATAGTGATAGAAATTTGGGCGTTGGACAGCAGGTGACTATTTCAACTAGAGACTCTCAGGAGCCTGAATCGCTCACCTGAAATTTTTTAGACAATTGAAATAATACATTAAGAATATTTTCGATAGTTATTGGCAAAAAAGTTTCAAATGAGTAACAATTGTCATTCAAGAGCAATGAATCCGATACTATTAGTCGACTGATAACATCGACCTCGTATATTTAATGGTAGATATTGTCCCGCTGATAATTGTTGTTGCCTGTCAAGTTTCTCTTTATCTTCTATAGTTTCCTGGAAAAAAAACATAAAAATTAGTAAAAAACGTCTTTCAAGGACAATCATTCCTATCAGGTCTCGACGGATGGTTTTTGCCATGTTGTCTTATTTGTAAATCTTGTTCTGATTGTATTTTTTGCTATAAACAGGTTCTCTCTCTGTCTACTTTATAGTTT